AAAATTTGTAAATCGTTTTTTTCCCTCCTCCTGTCGTTCGAAGTTGAACTGTTTAAAGTTATTAGAACCTGATATTTTTTATACAATATGGGTGACAAACGAGCACATAATTCACTAAATGTTATCATCAACATCGCTTAGGTGAATGCTGTGACCCATAGACATCTACATTTATCCTCGATTACGATTCAAAATATAGATGCGTTGTCACCCCTGAGGAATAAGATGGAATGCCTCGTTTCCAGTAAAATGGATCTCTTGTTCTCTACACTCATCATACGAAACACAGCAGCATCAAACTGCTATTTTACGCTGGTATTCTGTCAGAGCGTTGTTCTATCCCGGTCGAGCCGACCTATTCGTGTTACAACCATAATTTAGCTGCAATGTGGCCCTACCACGTACAAAATAAATATGAAGCCTCTTCCTTTGTTGATAACTTTTAATTTAACATTTCTCGCAATTCTTTAACTGGTCTGCGGAGAAATATCGCCTTTACCATTAGGTACGTATTGAATTATTAAGAATCTTAATTTATGGAATATAATACCCCACGAATTCTAAAAGTAAGATCTGGTAATAAAATATGTAATTTATATCAAAATAAGACTTTAACTGTGGAAATTTAGCCGATCTTATTTCTACAAGATGGCAAGTAAGAGTAATAGCAATTTATGTAATTTCATTCATCAGTAGGCATGTTTTAGACAAATGATAATGATATTAATAATTTGCTTTTAAATAAAATTGTTATTTGATAGGTAAAAAAATTTAGTCTTTGGAATAACAAATTGATGTTGAGAGTAAAACTGGCGCCTAGGTAGCGCAGTGGCTAAGTGTTGGATGGGTGCGAGTTTGAATACAGCACAAAACAAGGCCTATCTATAATATTTTGTCCTGTTTTTGCCTACGTGATACAGGGTGAATTCCTAGTGTGGATATCTGTGAGGTATGTATACTATTTAAACCCTCAGAGATGATTCCCCGTGTATTGGCGGATAACGAACCACTACCCCATATCTTCCCGTAGGTGTCGTGAGAGGCGACACAGAGAAACTGAGGCAGAAGGTGGCAGCAGCCTCTTTCTGATAAAAGCAAAAAGCAATAAAAAAACTGCGGTTGCCGACCAGTGGCAACTATGGCAATATACCCATAGTTGCCTATTATAGTACAGTTGCCCCTATGATGAAAGTTATGAGGAGACGACCCCCAGTTCCCGGCGGACCCGCTATTCTTTACTACGGTGGCGACCATGGTAACGGCCGGGCATCGAGTGCTAAGAATCTCTGGTGGAGGTTCGGTTGCCACCTACGACGACTCGAGCTGGAAACTTATAACGTAAGTACCCTGAGGACTAACAAGAAGATCCTGGAGCTGGAAGAAGAGGTTCGAGGAGAGGGGGAGGAAACGGTAATCCTCGAATCCAGCAGCTTGTTCTATCACCGGGAGTGCGACCATCTGTCCCAAGGAGGTGTCGAATTTGTCGTCTACAAGTCTCTCATTAACTACGTTATAAAGATTGGAATTATGTCTACGAGGGTTGCGTACCTTATACTCAGAATCACTAAACGGTATTTGGTGAAGGTCTTACAAGTTTGCGCACCAACCTCGGCACATTCTAGTAAAGAGGTGGAGGAAACGAGGTGAGGTAGAGCCGTGCATTCCTCCAAAACCCATTATACGGTGTTAACGGAACACACACAAGAGAGAACAGTGAGCTGAAATTAGGGAAATTCGGAATAGGGCAACAAACCCCTAGGAGCCAGCAGCAGACTGACTTTATGCAGAAAGAGGGACTCCTTATGATGAACTCTTTCTTTCAAAAGCAGCCTCACAGAAAGTGGACCTGGTCGAGCCCCGACGGTTCGACAAAAAGTGATATCGACTTCATTATGATGACTATGATGAAGTACTATGAACCCATTTGTCGTATCTCCTCAGTTTCAAGGCACTCCCCTTGCTGCCTCAGCCAGTATCGGAATCCTTGGCGTCGACATATCAATAGCGTGCAGTTTCGTGGTCACTTGGAAGGGAAGGCCAAATTGGCCTCTAAAAAGCTTGGCGTGCTCAACAGATCGAGACAGTATTTCATGCCGGCACATCGCTTGCAACTTTACAAACCGCAAGTTCGGCCCCACATGGAATACTGTTCTCATCTCTGGGCCGGGGCACCCCAGTGCCAGCTCCTTCCACTTGACCGCATCCAGCGCAGAGCGATTCGAATCGTTGACGACCGAGTTCTTTCTGATCGGCTCGATACACTGGCACTGCATAGAGATGTTGCATCTCTTTGCATATTTTATCGCATCTATCACGGGGAGTGCTCTGAGGAATTGTTCGGGCTAATTCCAGCCGCTCAATTTCACCATCGCACATCGCGACAAAACTCGCGTTACCATCTATACTATCTGAATGATTGGCGGTCCACCACTATGCGATTTAGAAGAAGTTTTCTCCCTCGCACAACTTCTTTGTGGAATCAATTACCACCAGCGAATTTTCCGAACCGATACGACTTAGGAACCTTCAAGAAAAGAGCTTACACCTTTCTAAAAGGCCGGCAACGCATCTGCAATTCCCCTGGTGTTGCGGTTGTTCATGGGCGGCGGTAGTCACTTACCATCAGGCGAGTAGCATGCTCGTTTGCCCCCTATTCTATAAAAAAAAGACTACACAGCAACTGTTCAGTGATTTCTCAGTGATCGCTAGAATGAAAATTGGTAGCGATAACAGTTTATAAAATTTCGGTGAATGTTTAGAGGCACACTGAACTTAAACGTTAAGTTGGAGAGGTGTCGTCTAATAAAGGCAACGCTCCGTCCCCCTTTTGCACTAATCCAAAGTCCAGAAACCTTTCAGCTCGAGTTACAAAACCATTTTCAGTGCCTAGAAGATGGCAATGCAGTGGATGGTATGAATGACAAGCTCGTAAAAACTGTCCATGCGGTTGGAGCTAAGACCCACCACAGAAGAATACGAAAACTCTCCGATCACACTCTTAATCTCATGGCTGTTAGACGGGAAAAGAAGCTGCAGTTTTTAGTAGATTTGACCCATTTAAGGGCAACTGAACACAGAGATCTCCAAATGCATGTGGAAGGACTTACGCAACTTTAATACTACTGTCGGTTTCCGAAAAGGCTTTAGCACCCTTCGGCAAATTTCACAGAATACAGAAGAGTACAATCTGCCAATTTGTCTTATGTATGTGGACTTTGAGAAAGCCTTTGATTCCGTCGAAATTTGGACGGTGCTGCAGTTTCTTCAGCGATGCCATGTGGACTGTCGGTATATCGAAGTACTGAAGTGTTTTTACAGTAGGGCTACGATGGCTATCCTAGTATCAGAGTATAAAACCTATCCAACTGCAGGGAGGTGTAAGACAGGGTGACGTAATATCCCAGAAACTCTTCACCGCTGCATTGGAAGACGTTTTCAAGCTGCTGGACTGGAAAGGATACGATATTAACGGCAATGGCGAGTACATAACTCACCTTCGATTTGCCGACGATGGCATAATTGCTGGAGGACCTAAGCACTATGCTAAATGACCTCAATTGTGTCTCCCAACGGATAGGTCTTAAGATGAACGTGTGCAAAACAAAAATAATGTTTAACGTCCATGTCACACACCTATGCCGATAGTTGTTGAGCACTAATCTCGAAGTTGTTGACAAATATGTTAACCAGGGACAAATAGTCCGACTTCGGGGAGGGGTCGGCAGGCATCGAGAGGGGCGAGTACTTCGCAGCCGCGGAGGGATAAGCACGGACGGTTCGTGTGCTCCAATACCTCGGCGGCTAGCGAAGCAGATAGTGACATCAACCACTGTGCCAGAGCTCAGAATCTCCTACTCCAGAGCATGGCAGAGTGGTCGATTCACGTGGCTGTGGTCGCCGAACCGTACTTCATTCCCGCCCGTGACAACTGGTTGGGATGCACTGACGGTTTGGTGGCCATTATTGGCGAGACTCTGATCGACCCGTCTCGGGGCCGCGGCTGGGTTGCTGCGGTCTCGGGCGGCATCGTTATTGTAGGGGCGTATTTCTCCCCCAACAAGAGTCTCGCCGACTTTGAGGGTTTCCTTGTCGAGTTGGGCGCCGTCGTAGGCCGCTATCACCCTCGTCCCGTTCTGGTGCTCGGGGATCTCAACGCCAAGTCATCGGCGTGGGGATCTCCGGTCAATGACCCTCGGGGCGAGGTGTTAGAAGAGTGGACGGTGACGACTGGTCTGGTCGTCCTGAATCGGGGTTCGGAATACACGTGCGTGCGGCAGCGGGGTGGGTCGATAGTGGACGTCTCGTTTGCTAGCCCCTCTGTCGCCAGCCGAGTCCGCGACTGGCGTGTCGCCGCAGAGGTGGAGACGCTGTCGGACCATCGGTATATCCGGTTCGACGTCTCTGCCCAGACTGCGAGCGGCCGCCATCCAACAACCCCGATTAACGACGGCCCGCGTTGGGCGCTTAAGCGCATCGACAGGTAACTACTCGAAGAAGCTGCCCTAGTCCAGTCCTGGATTCGGGAGTCGACGACGGACGGCCCCGTCGACGTCGAAGCGGTGGCGCTATGGTTTCGCGGGGCGATGACGCAGATCTGCGACGCGTCCATGCCCCGTGTCCACCAAAGGTCCGCAAGGCGCCAGGTGTACTGGTGGACCGCCGAGATCGCGCAATTGCGCATAGCGTGCGTTGCGGCTCGTCGCCGGTACACCCGATACCGGAGACGGCGTCGACGGGATCCCGCCGGGGAGAACGCGCTGTATGAGGTGTACCGCGCGTCTAAGGAGACTCTGTGGCTGGCCATCGGTGACTCAAAGTCGCGTGCCAGGGAAGAGCTGCTGGGATCCCTAGATCGGGATCCGTGGGGGCGCCCCTACCGTTGGGTACGGGGCAAGTTGCGTCCCTGGGCGCCTCCACTAACACAAACGATGCAACCCCAGTTGCTAGAGGCGGTGGTATCGGCTCTCTTCCCTGAGCGAGTGGGACACGTTCCTCCGGCGATGGCTTCAGAAGAGGAGAGCACCGATGTCTCCGAGGTGACGCAAACAGAGACGAGAGCGGCCGTGTCGCGACTCCGGGCTAAGAACACAGCGCCCGGACCCGACGGAGTTCCTGGTCGAGCTCTCGTCCTGGCTCTGAAGAAGCTAGAGCCCCAGCTGAGAGGGCTCTTCACGGCATGTCTCGAGCAGGGTCAGTTTCCCAGTGTGTGGAAGGAGGGGAGGCTGGTCCTGTTCAGGAAGGAGGGGCGCCCCGCGGACTCACCGTCCGCGTACCGGCCCATAGTACTGCTTGACGAGGCGGGCAAACTTCTTGAGCGCATCATCGCAGATCGCCTCGTCAGCCACTTGTGCAGAGAGGGGCCGGACCTGGACGAGAACCAGTTTGGTTTTCGTCGCGGGCGCTCCACCATAGACGCTATTACGCGCGTGAGGGCCCTGGCGGAGGAGACAGTATCCCGGGGTGGGGTGGTGCTGGCGGTGTCCTTAGACATCTCCAACGCCTTCAACACCCTACCCTGGAGTTGTATTCGGGAGGCGCTGTATTACCATCGCGTGCCTCCCTACCTCCGCCGCACAATAGGGGCTTACCTTGAGGAGAGATGCGTTACCTATTGGGGACGTGACGGCGCTGGTCGGCGCGTCATGTCGTGCGGTGTTCCGCAGGGATCGGTCTTGGGACCGCTCCTGTGGAACATCGGCTACGACTGGGTGCTGAGAGGTGAACTCCCGTCGGGCGCCGACTTGACGTGTTATGCGGACGACACGCTCGTCACTGTCCGGGGGAGTTCACACAGGGAAGCAGCGTTGGTTGCCACGGCTGCGGTGTCACAAGTGGTGAACCGCATCCGGCGCCTGGGCCTGGAGGTGGCCCTAAATAAGTCGGAGGCCATGGTGTTCCATGGCCCTCGACGCGCGCCGCCGCCGGGTTCACACATCGTGGTCAGCGGGGCCCGGATAGCTGTCGAGTCCACCATGAAGTATCTGGGATTGGTGCTCGACAGCCGATGGGAATTCGGACCCCACTTCCGGCGGCTGGCGCCCAAGCTGATGGGTGCAGCGGGCGCGCTATCAACGTTGCTTCCCAACTTGGGGGGCCCGAGCGCCGCCTGTAGGCGGTTGTACGTGGGAATCGTGCGGTCCATGGCCCTGTATGGGGCCCCTGTGTGGGCGATGGACATGACGGCCAGCACTCTCGCCATTCTGCGTAAACCGCAGAGGGCGATGGCCGTCAGAGTCGCCCGCGGGTATCGCACGATTTCCTACGAAGCGGCTTGCGTCCTGGCCGGATCCCCGCCCTGGGACCTAGAGGCGAAAGTACTCGCGTCATTATATCGATGGCGCGAGGAAGAGCGGGCACGGGGCTCGAGGCCTGTGCAGCGGCAGATCGCGCTGCGCCGAGAGGAGCTCCGTCAGGTCTTGGTGGCGGAATGGCGGCAAAGGCTTCTGCGCCCTACCGCAGGCCTCGCTACCGTCGAGGCGATCCGGCCAGTACTCGACGACTGGCTCGGGAGAAGGCACGGCTCCCTGTCGTTTAGGGTGACGCAGGTGCTGTCGGGGCATGGCTGCTTCGGCAAGTACCTGCGCCGCATAGACAGGGAGCCGCACGCTCGGTGCCACCACTGCGTCCATTGCGGGGAGGACACGGCGCAACACACGCTCGCCGAGTGTGTAGCTTGGGAGGAGCAGCTCCGTGTCCTCACAAATAAAGTAGGAGGCGATCTGTCGCTGCCGGCCTTAGTGCAGAAGATGGTCGGTAGCGCAGAGTCGTGGGATGCAGTGGTGTCCTTCTGCGAGGACGTGATGTCGCAGAAAGAAACTGCGGAACGGGAAAGGGAGATCTCGACTCCCTTCCCTGGCCGCAGAAGGCGCACCGGGTGCAGGAGAAGGGCGGACAACGCCCTTTTCCGGCCCCCATAAATGGGTCCAGGGGCGAGGGACTTGGGGAAGCCCCCGCCACCCCTACTCGATGGACCCGAGGCGGAGGCGCGCGCGGGTGTCGGCGCGCGCCCCTGAGGCGATACACGGGGTAGTTTAACACCTCACTACCCCGTGCAGGAGACGAGGCCTGGACGGACCGGGCCAGCACTAGTGTGGGGCTGCGGAAGAATTTGGATTCCCGCGGCCCCACGCGCACGTGTGAGGAGACACCGGGGTGGTTTTAGCCGGTAAGAGTCCGGCATGCCCTTCCGCCTTTCCCCAGGCGGAGGTAGTCCATGAGGATTTCCCCCCGTAAAAAAAAAAAAAAAAGGTATGTCCAACTTTGACCGAGAGGTCAATCGACGGATTTAACTCGGCTGGGCAGCGTTCGGAGATTATGACTCATCTTCTCGACAGACATACCTCAAAACCTCAAAACTAGATTGTACAACCAGTACATGTTGCCAGTGATAACCTATGGATCTGAGAAGTGGTCCTTCATTGCTGACCGTATAAGGAAGCTCAAAGTCGCTCAGCTAGCTATGAAGAGGGCTATGCTCGGCATTTCTCGTTATAATGAAAATGAATCAAATACGGGAAAAGAAAGAGTACTTAATTTTGCCGCCTTCTTTTTGCTACCATGTTTTTGCTTTAATTTTATACCTATAGTATTAGGTATAGTATAGTACGATTTAATTATTTTTACAATTTATTAATATACGTTGCAAGTGTTTCTTAATACTATAATATTATAGTCTTTACTTACTGCTACAGTATTAAGGTATATAATATTTATATTATAGTACTCTAATGATAATGATATTTTGAATTTTTAATAGATTTTGATTTTATACGTGGTAGAGCCATGCTGCAGCTATATTATAGTTGTAGCACGAATGGGTCGGCTCGACCGGGGAAGGACCACGCTCTCACAGAACACCAGCGTCAAATAGCAGCTTAACGCTGCTGTGTTTCATATGGTGAGTGTAGAGAACCGGATACCCTTTTTACTGGAAACGAGGCATTCCATCTTAGTCCTCACGGGTGACAATGCATCTGCATTATTATTCGTAATCGAATAGATGTAGATGTCTATGGGCCACATCAACCACTTACCATCAGGTGGACTGTGTGCTCGTTTGTCACCCTTCTCCTATAAAAAAATAATTTTTTTTCAGCATGCATCAAACAGATTATTCCTAGACTGTCTCTTTAATTTAAAATAAGTAAGGAGTAATGCTACATACTACTATACTTTTAGAAAAGCATGGTTCAAAGTGGAATGCAGATAAAAGTAATGCTTAGCTACGCGAACTGAATAAAAATGTGACTTTGCGAGTCTCACAAAGGATATATACAGAGAATGGTCTCGATTTAAACTATGCAGATGTTCTCTGTAGTCTGCAAAACTAAATATTTTATTTCTTTATATACATACCTAATCGCAAGCTGAAAAAAACATAAAGTTATTTGATATTGTTATTGGTGAATAAATAGCGCCATATTACTTTGATATGCTCGAATGGATTTAATCACAAAGGATGAAAATATACATCCATACCATCGAATAGAAAATACATTTATTCAACATGGTATATTTATTCTTTGGGTAGAAACCAATTAAGTGACGATTACAACAGGAATGTTGAGCATTCCATCTCAATCCACACGCAGTTTTATGGCCTCTAGTTTTGTAATAAAAAACAGCATACTAACAAAGAAAGACGGAGCGCTACGAACATTTTAAGTTACACAAAAACTAAATCAAAACCATGCTCGACTTATTTTATAAATGGCATATATGCATCAAAAATCATTTGCAAGCAACAACATGACTTTATGTGCATATCCATGCATCTTACAGTGTATTTTCGGACTGATATAGAAAGAAAGAAGGAAGATGTGTGATAATGTATCATGTATCAAGAAGTTGAGGTTTCAACATCAATTCGAATAAACGGTGCTCTCCGTCTATCTTTCTTTATTGACCTGAGATTTTACTCTAGTATTTTATTGAGCTCTATTAGAAAGAGACCACGGTCTTTCCACAGTTAAGCTAATATTTTTGTGCTGTAGCTACATAAATTGTGGAAGCGCTCTACCACGTCTAAATATCTTTTTCTTCGTCTTTCAGAATCGGAAAGCAACGCTCAAGATGGAAGTTTATCGACCGAATCGGCGATAAATTGAAGATGGACCAAATTCAGAGAATACGCTAAAAGTCGGGCATGTATAATTAGAATTTATGTGAGAGAGTGCCATATGGAAGTCCATAGTCTCCTTCCTACCCTCTGAGTGACAGGCGTGCAATTTTATGTAGGTATTCCCGTTTTCTGCTTTACCGGGCCAGAATAGTTCACAGCTGGACGAGTCTTATTCGTTGTAAGAACTATTGGATTCCTTGTAAGTGTTGCTAAAACTGTCACGCTTGTCAGATTATTTGGCGATCGCTATTCTAGGCGTGGCGTTCACTTTTTTAGGGTTCCGTACCTCAAAAGGAAAAAACGGAACCCTTATCTGTCTGTCTGTCTGTCAAGACCCTTTTTCTCAGAAACACGTGGAGGTATCAAGCTGAAATTCATATCAAATACTCAAGTTTACTGTTCCTTGGAGCTTTGAAAAAATCAAACCTCTAAGCCAACACAATAAAAAAAAACAGCCGTTTATGCCGTAAATTTTCGACATTCGCAAGGGAATCAAAACCTACAGGGTACTTCCCATGTACTCAGAATCTTAAAATTTGGTACTAAGCAATGTATTATAGCACAGATAAAGGAATAATTTCGAAAAGCATAAATTTTTAGTTACATCATATTATAAAAAAAATTATTTAAACTTATATACCTACGGATTTTTTCGGAACCCTCGGTGCGCGAGTCCGACTCGCGCTTGGCCGGTTTTTTGACATTAACATTGTTTCCTGTAGCCACAACCATGGTAGTTCAGAATCAAAGGCTGAAAATTTTCGATTTTGTCAGCAGTATTAACAATAAATATGATTCAAAACAAACGAATAAATTTAAAAATCTACCTTCGTTCGAATGTTCTTCGTACCTCATAGTTTTAAAACAGAAGTAATGAAAGTTGTGAATCTGTTTCAGTTCTTTTAGATTGCGCGAAAGAAGCGCAATCTCTTGGGTAAAAATTGCATGCTTTCCAATTTTAAGTTACGGGATACTTTTAACTTTACTTGACTTTTAAAGTTTTAGACCACACTGTTATTAAAAAAGTTGTTGAACTAAAACTATAAAATAATGAACCTACGTACATTCTTCTTCACTTTCGAAGTTCAGGTAGGCGATCGTAGTAACAGGTTTCTCGTACCTTTGGCGCTGCGTCATCTGGCCAGTCTGGGTGGGTTATTTGACTCTTATAACTTAAATTAAAAAAATTTAAGAACCCCTGAAAACAAAAAGAGCTGGCGATGTTCAAACGACTGAACAGATTTTTGGAAATATGGCTAAGAACACTCTGGATTAAGACATCTTTCAAACGTAATCAAAATAAGTTCATTCGTTCAGGAGCTATGATACCACAGACAAACACACAAATAAACACCTCAAACATATAACCCCCCCCCCACCCCCAATTTTCGTCGGGTTTTAAAAATAGAACTTTTACTTATTTACATATTAGGACCTAAGCTGCTGACTAAGTAATTTAGCTATAAATTCTAGTATTTCTGGCGCTGGCGGTGGTGTATTGATAAACATTGATAAGCTATATTAATAGTATAGTTATAGCACGAATGGGTCGGCTCGACCGGGGAAGGAGCACGCTCTCAGAAAACCAATGTAAAATAGCAGCTTAATGCTGCTGTGTTTCGTATGGTGAGTGTAGAGAACCGGAGGCCCATTTTACTGGAAAATAGGCATTCTATGTTAGTCCTCACGGCTGACAACGCATCTGCATTTTAATTCGCAAACGAAGACAGATGTAGATGTCTATGGACCACAGCAATCACTTATCATCAGGTGGACTGTGTGCTCGTTTGTCACCCTTATTCTATATATAAAAATGAATCGCTGAATGTGTTGCTAAGCGCAAATCTCGAGAGCAGCTGAACCGATTTCGCTAATTCTTTTTTTTATAATATCCCTTAAAGTACGTAGATGGTTCTTACGAAGAGAAAAA